TTTCATACATTCAACTAAGTTGTGATTCATTTAACACGAACTTTTTACCCCTTACACGGACGCTATAAATGCTAAAATATGAGTTCTTTAATTTTGAGCTGCAGATCTACTTGTTAACATGCTGGTGAAATAGCATAAAATAATTTGACTTGCTGTGAGGGGTCCTGGGTGAATCGTGTTTCATTTTATTATTTTAAGTTATGAAATTTCTAATACATTTAAATGTCAACAAATGGAGGATCATGTTCAACAGATACTTATTAAGATCGCCGTTGTTTTAAGTGCAAGAGTAGAGGCTGAGATGGAAATTAAAGAAGCGATGTCTAAGTTTCCAGATGATGAAGAATTCAAGCAATACAAGAAACAGCTGGATGACATGTTCAATGAAGGAGCATGTAACACGACACATGACACTCATTCCAATGGATTAAAGGATCATTCAACTGCAAAAAATGATGGACAACCTTCATTGGATATTGTTGTAAGTCAGCCAAGTGGGTTCAATCTGCCCAAGATTTGGTTAAGCCCTGGTTTCATTGAAGCAGTTGATAAAGTAGTTGAAAATACTATATCAACGTCAAAGACGAAAAGATCATATGCAACCATTACTCCTCCAAAATTTGATTTGGGTATTAGTCCAATCAAGCAATCGGAACCTTTGTCAATGGTATTGCATGAAGAGGCAGAATGTATAGAAAGATGTCCTTCGGTGGAAAGATGTAATGTATCCGAAGATGCAAAGAAATATCAAGAGGAGCGAGCGACAAGACGTGAACTAAAGTTGGGTGACCATCTCAGATCCCCTTTTGTTATCATAGTAGTTGACCTAAACGTGACACCAGAAGAAAAATCCATGAATGGGCAGTGGCTGGGCTTGGAGGAAAGTAGTAAGTTTATTATTATATGAAAATTTCTTTGTTGCATTATTACCACCATGACATCCGTCTTCATATTTTATTTATCATTTTGACGGTTTTAAATGCAGCGAGTTGTTATTTTCAACACCAAACGATACGAAGCTACATCGTCATGCAATTGAAAGCTTGGAGCGTACAACTACAATTTACGTAAGTGTGATAGACGCATGGGCGACATTGCTTAACTACGAGGAATGGTATCGGAACAGGGATTCCTTGCGTCGTTATTTTTTTAACACGGAAGTTATGGTACGTGAGAAGCAAAATATTTTAAATAGCATTTTTTTCCTTGTCTAACAGCTTCATTAATATAAACCATAAATACATCGTTGTTTATGACAGGGAGGCTCTAAGCTAAGATCTAAGAGCGTTAATCATAATACCTAATATGCACTTTTCAAAAAGGGTTTGTTATCTTCTGTGAAAAACAACTGGGAAGTAGTACAAATGCGTAACGTAGACCTGGTATGTTTTTCAATTTCAGATTATTTTCGCTGTATTTTGCTACCATATTCAATATGCACTTAGTCAAACATATCAATGAATCTGATAAACTATTGCAAACATCATTAGCTAATTGCTGATTTTTTTTCTAGATGTCTTGTTTATGTAAACAGCCGTATAGTTTTATACATTTGCATTATTACAAGACTGTCATCTGAATGAATATAGGTGCTGATTTTTTGTTTATGTATGTGAACAACGTCAATATCTAGATGTTTTGATTATGTAAATAGTCGTATATTTTAATACGATTGCATTATTATAAGGTTCATTTAGTTTATGTTTATAATGAATCTAAATTCAAATAATCATGTTTATTATGAATCTAATTTCACAAGGCTATCTTTTAGATGAACCTAGATGCTGATTTTTGTTTCTTGATTTGAACAACGTCAGTATCTAGGTGTCTTGATTATGTAATCAGTCGTATAGTTTAATATGAATGCATTATTAAATTTTTATTTAGTTCTCAGTTAATTATATTCAATATGAATTCACCCGAATTTTACTTTGACAACATGATCAAATAATAGGTATTCTTCCCATTGCTTGATAAGGGACATTATTATCTTGTGGTCTTCAATTTAAAAAATCCATCAATTGTGGTCATAGAAAACAGATAAAGAGAAGTGTCCGATGACGACCACCTTCTACAAATGTATGATTTCATAACGGATATCGTGGTATGAATTAAATACTAACTTATAACTGCATTCTTCATTAAGTTTGAAGAAGATGAACTAAGCATTTCTTCCTGTTTATGCAGCAAAGGTTGATGATCAGACATTTGAATACAATAGGACATGCATCAGGTAAAGAATTGGATGAAACTGGTCAAGAAAGATTGAGATTGGACTGGCAGACACAATATAACTTTGATGATTGTGGTGTGTTCACAATGAGACATATGGAAACATACATGGGAGATATGAAATCATGGAAGACTAGACTGGCACCCGAAAGTAAAACACAAGAGAATCAAATCGCAAACCTCAGAATGAAATACGTAGCAAAGATATTGGTGAACAACTATCCTCAGAATGAAATACGTAGAAAAGATATTGGTGAACAACAATAACGTCAAGAAGGAATACGTAATTAAAGAAGTTGAAAAGTTCAATTCAATCGATGAAGTTGTCCGTGCTAAGATAAGGAAGGAGCTCAGGATACAAGGGTAGAGAGACTGCAAATCTGAATTTTCATGTAGACGCTTTTAAGAACTTACATCTAGTACTCAATTTTCTAGTTTGTTTAAACATTCTCCTTTTGGCATTTCAACATGACGGGTTGCATTTGAAATTTGATGATTATATTGTGTTCATAACACCGTACATTACACTTGCCTATTCACGGCATGTGTTTGTCACTTTTATGGCATATATAAGTTTGTTTAAAGATTGTGTCTGCTTTTTTTGTTGACAATCACATAGAATAACATCAGGTATTGACAATTGTGGTTTTGATGAGGATGTCTAATATTTGAGTTCATGGTTTGGCAAATTGTTAGACGTTGATCAGTCTATTATTATAAGCTTTTTTCATTAAAGTAAAAGATTTCGATGACACCAGATTCACAAGTTATAACAACATCACCACCAGAAAGATCTATCAGGTACTCAAGTTGATGTACCTTGATTCATATAGTTAAGTATATCAAATAAGATACTGATACGGAGTTTTGTTCTCGTTTTGTCAGTCTATTATAAAGAATGGATGAATAGTTGATTATCCTGAAAAGACTGTTCAGGCAAGTATAAGTTGATAACTTGATTACTTATTTTTAATACATTAAGATTAGTACTTAATATGTCTTTTTTTAATGCAGGGAAATTATAAAATGATCTGTAATCTTTCGTAGGTGACAGATTCTATGCCATTCATATAGTCTATGCCGTAACTGTTTTCCTGAACAAGTTTACTATTACATTCCATCATATGCCATGAAAATTCATTAGTTTATCGATCTCCTCAATCATATTGCTTATGTAGGTCAACGTCCACATAATCTAATTGATGAACCTAGTTCCATCAGTGACTACATAAGCTTTGACATACTGACATATAGTGTATTAATGAAATTAGATTCGCATATACTATTACTTTGATGCACCTGGTTTCATCAGTACATTTTATAAGCCTTTACATGATGACATAAAGTTTACCAATGAAATTAGATTCATATATAAGCTGATGAATTTGGTTTCATTAGTACACTACAGAAGGGTTATACATAGCCATTAGTTTATCATGAATCTAGACATACATAGGTGAATGAAATGTAGTGATATGACAACAATATAATCCACTGACTTAAATCTCAACAATATAACCGAATAACATCTCGAAATTAAATAATAAGACAAATTCGAAAAGAAAAATTAAGTAGAAGCACATTTCAAATTCATTATAATCCATAGTTGATGCACCCATATTCACAAAGGCATTATAATCCAAATAAACTAAAATCCATCAATACAAACCAATAACATCTCAAAATTAAATGATACAAAAAATTTAAAAAAGATAACTTAAATGGAATCACGTTTTGGACAATTCCGGGAATCATGTGTAGCCATTTGACGACATAGTCGACACTTTCTCTTCTGCTTTTTTCCGCTTGAAATTGCTTTTTCTGCAACGCTAATAAGTCCCTTACCAGTTCTACAACCTTTTTTTCGAATACCGGTGGGAGGAAGAACATCAACAGTTTCGGGTTGAGATACTCCAAGAAACTCTTTAATAGAAGTTGTGGTCTCTTAAGTGTGTGACTGTAAAAGAAGTTCACTATCAACCTTTGAATCCCATCCTTCGAGTTGGTAAATAAATCTTGACAAAATGTCTTTTTCATTTCGGACTCGACCTAAAATACGTTCAAAATATGAATAAGCCACACTCATCAATCTCTCTTTATCTGAATCAACTTCACCATATCTGAAACAGGCAGGTAACCACTCCATGGGAACTAGATCGCGTCGCCAATGACGAAGTATATATTTAACGGGAATTCTGTCAACCTCGTCATTTAACATTACATTTAGAGCGTGACGACATAAAATCCCATTACGAACAAAAAAATTACAACTGCAATCGTACGACTTTTCCATCTTGTTCTTAATCACCTATTATATGGAAAGACCAAATCTTATTGTTCGTTAAAATAATATTGTACAATAAGGGGCACAAAACGAAATTGGACAAAGTAAATACCGAGTACTTTGTTGTGACCTTCGAAGCCTTGTTCTTGTGAGTTATGGTGTACACTCTTGTTTCATGAACGTCGGTGAATCTATCCCAGCCACAAAGCCAAACAACCTTTCTTAACTCTTTCTGAACTTCGAAAAATATCGTCCGTGCTGCTGCATGAGCTTCTAACTTGCAAGGGGACACCAATTGAGGAATCGTGCTGTTGGTTGTCACCTCTAGAGACCCATGTGTTGCCCGTTGACTTTCAATTGCATTATCAAAAGAACGGAGGAAAACAACAAAATCATGCCAAAAATGTGCATAAACGTTAAAAAACGCATTGATACTCTCTGACCTGGATGTTGTTTTCATTAGGCCGGACATCTGATAATCCATTTAGTAAGCTGGAATCCATGACTCCCTGATATCATACAATTCATCAGACCATGGATCTCCACGTAATCCATAAAATTCGATCAGATTGTTCCATTGCATCTCAAATTCATTAGGAACAAGGTGAACGTTCCACACCAACTTATTAAATTCTCTAGCGAACTGCGTACGGTGTTGGAGGTAATTACTAATCTGCCAAGTAAACCATCTAAACAATTGCATAAAAAATGAAAATGGACAAAAAAATTACTACAAAAAACTATCATCTTAATTACCTTCGATTTCACCTTTTTAATGATATGCCACATACACAATCGATTCTTGGATTCAAAAAATGTAATGGGAATTGCTTGTTTCATCGACGCACATTGGTCGATGATAACGAAACGTGGTTGACGTCCATGTGCTTTTACAAACACTTTTAATACCCAAGTGTAATCAACTACAGATTCATTATGAATTAATGCAGCTCCAACAACAATGGATTTCTTATGATTGTCAATTGCAACGAACGGAACAAATATCATAGCATGCCTATCAAAAATAAACAATGAAAATTAATACAAGGTATAAGATATAGTATTGAGAAAACCAACATAATAGTTTAATATCAAGTACAACTTACTTGTTGGTCCTAAAGGTTGCATCAAATGAGATTGCATCGCCAAATTCCCTATAATTTGATCGTGCAGTCTCACCAGCCCAAAAAGTTGCTAACAACTCCATGTCATCAAACTTGTACTCGAAAAAAAACTCAGGACAAACCTTCCTCCTATTAGCCATCACATTTAATAACATTTGTGCGTCTTTATTGCCAACAAAATATGCCATATCGCGTTTGAAGTTTTGATGATCTCTTACAGTGCCACCCGATGAATCTACACCACCCTTAACGGCTTTCATGAATCTATGAGATTTGGTGACGCCAACCTTGGAGCTAGAACCATGAAATACATTTTTATGATCAACGTAGTGTAGTTGCCTTTTAGAACGTGAAAACCTCATCTCCTCTTTATTAAAAAGGATGTGATTGTGCTGCTCAACAAACTTGTAAACTTCGTATTGATTCGGTTCTTTAACAAAGTGAATTTTTAAACATGTTCCACAACCGGAACGCTTGATATTTGAATTTCGGATTCTACGACCACCTGGAAGAACATCTAAGGAATCAAAATACTTACTTTGTGGCCTCCCTTCCTTACTACACACATAAAACCGCGACGTGATACGACCAAGCTTATTTATCTTCTTGTTACATAAACGTACATCAAACCCAGCTTCATTGGCATATTTCCGATATATTTTCTCAGCTGATTCTACAAACTCAAAAGAATCACCCACCTTAGGATTATATTTTACATCTACACTAGGAAACCCATATTTTGACCCATCAAACGTTTCCTCCATGTCTTGAGATCGATAATCTACAACAATAAGCAAATCAAGTCGTTTTTCAGTAATAAAAAAAGCATAAAGAATGACCAGTATTTGTCTTCGCTACATATTTAGTACATATGTACTCCAAGATGAATCTTATAATAATGCATTTGTATCGTAAAGCCGCATTTAGATTTAAAACAGTAAGACAACAACATGATTCTAACTTTAGTTACGTGGGCAAAAGACATAATGTTGGTAATAAATAACATGTTGTTAATCTGAACAGGTTCTTATTAGACGTAATTATTATTTATGCATCTGGTTTCACTGATTTTGCAGCTCAAGTTTGAACCAAATAGAGTGGCTACAAATTGAGGGCAAAGGACAGGTCAATGAAAACCTACTGCATTGTGAACCTGGTTTCATCATCATTGTTCTATGTCAATATTCTTCATATTCATTCTTAGGTGATTCTACATAATGGATGCTCATGCTATGCCTACATATATTGCATCCATGTTTAAACCAGATTATTACAAAGGAATCTACTTTTTTTTAATATTACAGGTAGACAAGAACCAAATACACCTCATAAGATGCATCTGGTTTCATTATAGGCTTTGGTAATCTTTGTTTGCTTCGAAAGTAGCTCTTTCAAGATTAATCCATAACTGGTTATATAACCTGCTGAATATGGTTTCATTAGCGGCCACTCTCCTTCTCCCAACAGTTGGTACAAGTGCAGCCTATGGTGTTCATGGACAAATTAGAATGCTATGACAGCCATCAACAAACTCTGTGATGTCTTTTGGGGTTTCATTACAAGTTTGCAGTTCTTACAATAGTTACGAAAACAATACAGTACCTTCAGATTCATTACTCAACGACGCAACATCATCATTGTCAAACTCTGCAGAAACTCCATCAGTAATCAAGTCACTACGCTCATGTATTGTTTCATTTTGACGAATGCACCCATCCTCATCCCTAGCTGAATAATTGCATTTATCTTGTGTTGTAACATCATTAGCAGCAGTTGCAATTTCACGAACAAGATCAACACCTTTACGTTTACCGTTAATGCCACCGATTTCATCAAAGATATCCTTGATGAATGTCTCATTGAAGGAGATGGGATCCATAGGTGTATGATAAATTATTCTACACCAATATGCTTCATCGATTCCATCAATTTTGAATATTGTCTATTATTTAGAAAAGTTTTATTTACCATGTCAGTTTCAGTTATTAATAGTAATTAAATGGTTTCATAATTAATAATATATTTATTAATTTTAATTAAATATAATAGTAATTATATAAAATTAGCAAAGGACAATATTAACCTTTTCATTTAAAAAATAATTAAAAAAAATACTATTCATTGATTGGTTAGAAAGGAGGTTGGAAGGGTTGTACAAATAGGAAAGATTGTAAAAGAAATATACCCTATATATATATATATATATATATATATTGATGATTGATGTTTTAAGAGATTGACTTAACATGTTAAGTTAGTCCGTCATATCTATCTTAATACATTAAGTTAGAATGTTTTCCAAAATTACTCTTGTCCTACAGTTTTTATTCATATGTCTCACTATAAAATAAATAATTTACCGACATGTATAAAAATAAATTTGTATTTTATTGTTTTATATATATTTTATGTTATTAAGGATTATGTTATGAACTCACTGAATTCATATTATTTATGTTAAGTTAAATAATTCATATTATTTTAATTTTATTTTTTATTTTAAATATTTACCAAACAATTTATTTACATCCACCTCTTATTTATATATAAGGTTAAAAGGATATTTTTCTGTTGTTCAGACTATTACTCTGATTAAAATTCAAACAACAAATTTCCTAATTTAATAAGACAGATTAATTCTTACATACAACTTAATATATATTTAGAACTTAAGGAATAAAAAAATTAAACAAACCCTTTGCCAATAGATAATATGAAAATATATTAACTGGTTATTAATATGTAGAAGTTACTATAAAGAGTAATCGGCTATTAAAAAAAATAACGATGTCTATAAATAACATTTAAAAAGTATTAAACTTGTATTAATACAAATTTCAAAGTTACAAACTAATGTAAATAATTTTTTTTAAATACTAATCATAGAATGTTATTTAC